TAGCTCATGGATCATTGATTTCAAATTTAGCGGTAAGAACCTCTTAAATCTTTTCTCTATTTTTTATCATCGCCTGACAGGATCATATCATCTACATAGACAATGTACATAATTTTTTTACCTCCCTGTGTATGCTTTATTAGCAATGTATAATCAGCTTGGCATTGGATGTACCAATTAGATTTAATAGTCTTGGCAAACTTATAAAACCAAACTGTGGAGATTTTTTGAAGCCATAAAGTGACTTTCTTAGTTTACATACTAAATGTTTATATGAGCTATTTTTCAGCCTTGGTGAGACCATCATATACACTTCTTTCTCGAGCTCACCATTCAAAAATACATTTGTAGATATCAAGCTGATGCAATATCCACTCTTTATTTACTGCCAAGGAAAAAACTATTATAGTGTTTAGCTTGGCCACTGGTGTAAAGATCTCTTAATAATCTATCTCGGAAGAGAGAGTTAAATCTTTAGCCATCTACCTTGCCTTGAACCTCTTAATATTCCCATCAATTTTGTAATTGACATCGAGCACACATTGCTCCCAATGGGTTTTTTATTTAGAGAAAGCTTTGTAAAGGTTTATGTGCCATTAGATCAAGTGCTTGGATCTTCTATTTAACAGTTATTTTTCATTCTCACTTTGAGGTGCTTCATGAATGGACTTGGGTTTTGCACACTATCAAGATTAGATACAGAAGTTATATAAGATGATAATTTACCATAGGCAACATACTCCTAAATAGGATAATTTATGAACTATTCATGTCTACTCCACTGGATTTCGCCTCGCTTGGAACTTCAGAGATGTGTAATTTCAATTTTGGTTGTGAACAATCCTGTGGTTGCATATCGTTTTCATCCTACTTAGTGAATTTCTATCTCTTAGTGTGCACACGAAGTTCCTTGTTATTAATTTCAAGTTAGATATCCTCAAGTGGTGGAACTTTAGAGACATAATAGTTAGAGTGAAGTAGAATAGGTTGTGATGACTCTAAATCAGTGTAAATATCTAGATCATTGTCTCAAATGTGACATTTACCCAAACCCCCTTCCCAAATTTATATTTAGGGATAGTATGATTATTTTTCAAAGAGTAATTTCTATGAAGTTATAGTATTTTTTTGTAATGAGAGAATAACACTTGTAGCCTTTTTTATTAGAAGCATAACCAAGGAAGATATATTTGATGTATTTTGGGTTAAGCTTTGTGCAGTTTGGTTGGTGAATATGAACAAAAGAGACTTAAATATTTTTAGAGGATGATTATATGAGACGACTCTAACATGAGGGTATATTTCCATCAAAATATCAAGTGAGGCTTTGAATCCAAGGATCCTGCTTGACATTCTTTTAATGAGGTTGGTGGCTGTGAGCACTACTTCTCTCTAGAAAACTTTTGAGATATTGCGAGAAAGCATTATAAACCTAGATACATCAAAGAGATGTCTATTCTTCCTCTCAGTTATCCCATTTTGATGTGGATTCTCAACACAACTCACATGGATGATACCATTCTTTGCACGGTGGGGTCCAATGATTGAGTTGAAGTATTCCTTTGTATTATCAGTTTTGAGAATATGAATTTTGCATTGGAATTGAAAGATTTGTGTAGTTTCAAAATTTTTCTTCATGAGGTATATATTTAATTGGTTCTACTGTGATCATGAAGAAGACAAATCACCTGGTTCCATTAATTGTTTTTAATTTTGATGGTACTAAAATATCACTTTGGATGATATACAAAGGATGTGACACTTTGTACTGAGACAGAAGATATACATGATGGGTATTTTAGTTAATTGATAGGTTTCACGATGATAAAATTCTGGCTTTTTGTTAATAAAGAGATGAGAGTACAACTTTGGAACCTAATGAAAATTGGGATGACACTGACGACAATGCCATAATAAAACTTAACTTTCAACAGCCTTAAAAACAACAGACTCAGAAACATGGGAAGAGGGTGGTGAAGAAGATAATTATGTGTCATGAGATAACTTTTTTTAGTAGGTATAAACCTTGATGCAATTCAACAGTGCCAATCACCTTTTTCAATTCCGCCATTTGAAATTCACAAGCATTAGAGTGAAATTTAGTAATATAGCTCAAGTCAGGAATAATCTTGCTAATTGAAAGTAAGTTGCAGTTTAGTTGGGGAACATATAACACAAAAAAAAAAGCTAACTATCTTTAGAGACTTTCCTTTTCTTCTTTCCCAACAATCTTGGAGTGAGGTCCATTAACATCTCTATCAAATTTGTAGGTGGTGATCTTTTGATAGTAGGTGAAAGCAAGAATATCTCCAGTCATGTGATCAGAAACACTTGAACCTCTTATCCAAGGTATAAATCTTCTATTATTAGCAAGATATGAGAAGGATATGATACCTTAGTGTATTATCAAGCTGGTAGGCTACTCGGTTGTGCCAATAAGAAGCTTCCTCAACGCCTCTAATTGTTCCTTAATGAAGAGACTAGGGCTGACCAACTCTTTAGAATAGGCAACGACATGGGCCTTGTCTTGGTCATTCCTCCTTTGTCCAAATTTCCAATCTACAAGCTTTTCATGTAGTTTCTAGCATTTATCCTTTCTGTGACCATTTTTCTTGCAATGTTCCACACAAGGGATGATTTTTCCTTGGCTTTGAATGATGGAAAGGAGTTTTGTGTGTAGAAAATGGAGCTTTCTGTGCTAGATGAACCCACACTTCCTACTATCATTACCTTCTAACTTCAGCAAAGACTTCCTAAGTGGTAGCGAGAGGTTTCACCTCAGATTCTTCCTCCGATCTCATCTAATTTTTTATCTAGGCCCAATAGGAATTTTATCACTTTCTTCTTCTCTAATATTGTATTATACATCATAACATTTTGAGAGCACTTTCACACATATTTATTATACATATCTAACTGTAACCAATACTTTGATAGCATGTTAAAGTGTTGAGTAACACTCAACTCTTCTTGTCGGAGCTTATGCATTTTTGTGTCAATCTTAAATATTTCTGTAGTATTTTTGGTACTAGAATAAATCTCACGAGCTACATCCCAAATCTCCCGCGTTGACCTGTAAAACAAGAAATTTTCAACTTTTGTGCTCATAGAATTGATCAATCAAGACTTGACCATATGATCCTGAAGCTTCCATGAGCGATGGTTAGGATCAGGGAGCTCAGGAAATGTGTCATCTCTTGTGAGATGTTCCTTTTCTACATATTTACATAAATACCGATTGAGACCATTGAAGGAAGTTATGGTCATTGAGTTTTGTGATAAAGGTAGAGAGTTCAAGGGCTATTTGGACAAAATTCCTGATCTCTGATTCATAACTAACCTTCGAATTATAGTTAGACATTTTCATTATTTATCTCATAAAACCTATGCACGTTTAGGGTTGAATAAGGGAGTTGGCTGTTGCTTGTGGCAGGAAGCATCCAACAGCTATGACAAGAGCTGTTAGACATTTGTTGGAGAAGCTCCAGAGGCTATAGGATCGAGCAGAGGAAGGCTTGCAGGCTGACTGAAGGGATTCTGGTGGCTGCAGGGAGGATTATGGATGTTGGACTGCTGCTGGAGAGGGGCTTTGACGGATGTAGGAGTGAGCAGAGGGAGGATAACTCAGCAAGGAATTGTGGTTGCCTTGAATTAGGTAATTGGATTGGCTTCTAAATCTCACAATCCGGTTGTTGGCTTCCCAGCTATCTGTTCTTGCGTCTGTATCGCGAATGTTAGTCACAAAGACAAGGGTTTTGGGTCAAGCTGGTTTTTGAATGCTGCGACCCGGTCTTTGTCTTCTCGGCTAGCTGCTGTCACTACTATATCGTGAACGTCGCGAAGATGAGGGTTTAGGGCGAATCCGGGATGTTCAAAAGCATAACCTTGCACCGCTGATGACGACGGGATTAGGTCACAAAACCGATCTTTGATACCATGAAGAAAGATGGAAAAACTATCTTTTCTTATTTCATTGTGTATACAAATCTCAACCTTTCCATTTATTATGTAGGAAATCTCTAGGTAAACATAATTAAGTCTATTAAAATTTACCAAATACAAAACAAACAATAAAATATACAACATAATAATAAATAGTATGTAATGGAATAAAACTGAAGTATGACACTCTCACTAATAGCTTCCACAAATTGATCCTGTGGGGCCGATATGGCCGGCGGTCTGGGCCACCTAACAAGGACAAAATTCCACAGAAATCGTAAGTTCAAAATTTTTAATTTATTTATTTTTATCAAAATCTAATCTCAAACAGAGCTATTGGATTTGTATTCTTAATTTCAGGGCCTGGCTCGTGTTTGGAATTGTTTGAACTTTTAGCATTGGTTCAAGAGCATCACTATTTATAATATCACCAATTTTGCTAGCTCTTGAACATTATATTTAATTATTGAATCCCAGAATTTCTCCAATAAGCTTCTATCTACCGTATACAGCCGAAGGTAATAGAGGTAGGGGACTGCGCATTATTAAAGAACATGGTAACAATTTTAGGGAAATTTACATACATACCACGTAATTCTTATGCATTTACATGTTTAACACCTAAAGTTTGATATTTTACATTTATGATACCTTGGTATTAAAACTCTTTGCATGACATGGTGCATTTTAATGGTATTTTTTGATGTGCTGTCAAAGATTTGAGCGTCACTTATGTAAATATGAAAGTTTAGGCGTTGGATATGTGAATATATAAAAATTGTATGGCAAGCATGTAAATGCCCCTTGATTTTATACAGACGGAGAATGCTACAGTGCATGTATGTATATGTATCTGCTCTTGATTCTATACAAACTTAGTCGTATTTATTTTATGTTTTTCTTTTAATGCAGCATTTTATATCAGACTTAGTAGTAGACTTTTAAATTATTTCTAATAATTATGAGGTCTATTTTGATCAAAACTTCATACAGCAAACATACCTATATGTTTGATTACCAGTTCATGGTTTTTTTGTCTTGGGAATAACTACATACAGCTTAGCTGCACTCTGCTGTTGCTGCGTACTGGAGGAGTGCTGCTTCTGAAGCAAACATACCTTCAGCTATCTTGTAATAGTCCTAATACTTACAAGCGTTTCTTCCATACTGGAACTGCATCATATGCTCTAAGAACTGTCCCGACAAAACCAACTTTATTTGGGTGTGCATATTGTAATACCAAGATCTTTTTATAATTGAAGTGATGTGTTGTATGTATGCATTATTTATATTTGTCATCATTATTAAGTAAACTACCACTAATGTTCGTTTAATTCTTATTAGCACTGACATTGCATCTTGAATTCCAATCATATAATTCAATGAATCATGCCAATTGTCTATTATAAATAACAGTACGAATTTTAATATGTACAAAATAATGTAACCTCATTTTTTAGGATGGGGTGCATGTATATAGTTTGTTATTTTATATGTATTAAGTGCTTATTTATTTTATAATTATTTTCTTATGATATTATTTTAAAGGTATGGCCGAGTTATAATACTATTCTAAAATGTAAGAATATGTTGATCAATCTGACCATAATTTTAATTTTGTTGAAATTATTTTAGATATATTTGCTAAACATTTTTTTTTGTATTAATATTATTATTTTTCCTTATTATTTATATTGTAATGTTAGGATGTTTTTTTTTTATATTTTTTTGATGTAAGATGAACGTTATGAAGTTTTGTAAAATTTGACAAAGCAGTATATGTATGATTAATTTTGATGTGAATAATCTTGCCTTATTGGTTGAACTTTGAAGTAATTTAAAAATAAAAATAAATTTTTGGGTAAAATATTATTTAGTTAGCATTTGTATGTATGTATGTATGTATGTATGTCTACGTGGTTGAATAGCGCCTTATATAAGAGTATATTGTGATGGTGGTCCTTTTCGTTACTTATAACTACAATTTTCATATTGATTGAGGGTTTGTTTGGGGCAGTTGTAACGGTTTGAAGAAGCAAATGTGAAATTAATCAAAAAGCCGCAGATCAATAAGCTAGCTACAGTGTTTTAAAAGTTAGACTGTATTTTTTTGACATCAATCATATTTTAATAAGTTAGGTTAGAAGAAAAAATGACTTTCTGTTACAAAAATTTCTAGAAAGTAATAAGAAAACAGTTCTTCAAATCAAATTGTAGTGTTGGGTGTAAAGCAACTAAAAAGCCGTCACAAACGGAACTTGAAAGTTCACTAAAATTAATGACCTAACAAAAAAAAAAATAATTCTAACTATACTTTGGGCTTAAAAAATTCAAAGTGGTCATTAACGTAATTTTCTAAATTTAATTTATAAATTAAATAAATAACTTATTGTGTTATCTATAAAAATATCAATTAACTAATTTTTTTTTACTAAAATGTGAATATATATCACGTTTTATCTTATTTTTTTTATAATATTGTGCAGAGTATAACCCACATTTTATATTAAAAAGTTTTTGATTATAAAACGTGGCTCAAAGATGCATTTTTTGCTCCTTTTAATTCTTTCCTAATCCGATTCCTATTATGCTTATTTGTTTAATTAAAAGATTTTTTTATAAATTGTCCTATATATATATATATATATCCTGCTTAAATTTAAATTTTTAATAAAAAATAATATTAATTATATTTTTAATTTAATAATAATATGTATAATAGTTAATATTTCTTAAGGTGAAAAGCTGTAAATTTACGGGACATATACATAGCACACAATTCTTGTGTATTTATATATATCTGTTACACAAATTTTCATATTTACAGAAATAATAATAATATTAGCACTTTTATGAATGAAATACACCTTTTTTATGTATAGTTCTAAAACATCAAAGTGTTATGTTTGTAAAAATAAAAATTTAGGTGTGCGATATATAATTCATTGATGCACAAAATTATTGCGAACTTTTTTAGGCCTTCGAAATAATATTTAGTCTTTAAAAGCTTCATTATAGGATTTACAAAAAAAAAAATGTCAACATTTAAAATGTGGTGCTCAAATGATGTTGTGTAGAAACTAATCTCATAATGACACTAAAAAATTGTCAAATTGCAACTATAATTTATAAATATTTTGTAGAGCATATTTAGATATTCTAAATTATTATTTTAAAGTGATTTTAAGTTTGAAATTGTTTAAACCAATATTCTAAAGTAAGATCTAAGATTTGTATGTTTGGACACATACTTTGGTCCATTACTTGACCATTTCCTTGCATTCTATAAACAATATTTCCTCGTTTTCATGTCTTCACAAATTTTAAAGCTTTTTAGCACAAGAGAACTTATTACTCCAATATAAATTCTGCCCCACACCCACACACCCAAAAATATTTGGTATCAAAGTGGAAGGACAAAGAAGGAAATAAGGTTTGGAGAGGCACTTGCATAAAGAATCATTTCTAAAATTGTATTTGGTTGAACTCCTTTATTATGATTTTTTATTAATTGTATGGTATATTTTCATATTACTTAAAATGTTTTCTTTGTCTGGCACCAAAGTTTAGTGAGAAAATGAATTCTACAAAAGTATTTTAGGGTTTTTCATCTCTGATGTCAATTAAAAGATAAGAACCTTAACATACATTTTTTAGCTTGAATTAGTTAAACCTCACACTTTTAGTTTAATTGTGTTGATTAGTTGAATACATTTCTTATAAATTTAATTAAGCTTTTATTTAGATGCTATAACATTGTACATAATCTTGAAATCCCACAATAATAAAGGCCCACCTTTATATTTACACATTAATTTGATCAATTAATTATATAATTAGATTGTCTATATAGTCTAAGTTCATTAAAACAACATGTCATTAAAAATATCTAGAATAGATCAATTTGAAGGATTAACCAAAATGATTGAGACCTAAGTTCTACAACAAATAATCATGATGATAAGCTAGAGTAAGTCCAACAAACCCTACAAGAGAATAATAATAAATTACAAACCCTACTTAAGATAATTATGAGCCATATCTAATGATTGAATTTTAAACTACAAACACTAATTGTGACACTTCATTTAGTACCTACCAAAACCATCCCATGTAAGAATTTGTTTGGCATGAAAATGGGCATTGGAATCATCTTTGGGGAGATAACTTATACTTAAAATGTTGATGAAAAAGTTCTAATTTTTGGCGGGATCTATGATCCCACAAAATTCCTAGATTGGCTTATCTAAATAAATAATTTATTCCAATGTTATAAAATAAATTATTATTAGAGAGTTGATTTTGCTAAAATGAAGCTTGGGTAGAAAAATCTATCTTCACATGGGTAGAATAACGTATCTTCACTTGGGTAGAGATGAAAGAGTTGCAAGGTCTATGTTCTCTCTTAATCATCATGATGAAAAAATATGGAAAATTAATATATTTTACAACATGAAATATGCATGTCATTGAACACTTGAACACCTTTAATAAGGTTGTAAACAAGGCTTTGTGCAATGATAATAATTGTTAATTTGTCTATTTGTCTAAAAAATTATCAATACTCTGAGGATGGACATTAGAAGTTCTATTATGTTGTAATGCATTTCCCTATGCTCTCCTTATTGAGGATCAAAATAAAATATCATTCATCTTGAGGACTAGAGAAAGCTTCAAAGCTGTTAATAGGTCTACCAATACGAATAATGAAAATAATAGTTAATTAAAATTTCATAAGAATGGATATAGTTAGCAACAATGCAAAGAATAATTTTTTTTTTCTAAAGAAAATGGAGGGTCATGATTTAAAGGATGAGGATATTGATAAGTTATTATTGACTAACTACTTTTTTTTTGATGATTTGAGAGGTTTGATTAAGTACCCTATTAAAGTGAATAGATGCTTAGCCTTAGAGAAAAAATAAAGATTGAAGAAGGATATTTATTCTCAACATGTATGTACATGAAATGATAGAAGATATAAATTAGTGATTGATAGAGTTGGTGTCAGAATATTATATCCACCAAAGCATTACTAAGAGCTCATTAAAGGTCGAGCCTCATCTTGAACCTTTTATTTTGTGTTGGTTAAGCTAAACATCACTTCTACTTAAAAATAATTGTATAATCCTCTTAAAAACGGGAAGGTATGCAGACCGTGTATGTTGTATCCCATATAATCTTGCCAAGGGAGTACTATTTATTTGAATATCATCTATTATGATGGAGAGTGCACATAGATGTTCTAATTAATGACATGGCTATCATTTGAACCTAACTATAAGGTTGCCCAACTCTTTTTACATAAGCCCACATCTTTGATCAAAAATAGAATTTAAAAAAGGGAGGGGAGTGGGCGAAGTAAGAAAAAATCAAGTAAACTAATTTAAATTAAAAATTTAATTATTAAAAATAAATAGTTAGATAAAAATAAAATACAATAAATAAAAAATTATAAAATAAAATTATATTTCAAGTATAATTATTATGAATGCAAATCTTAAAATTTTCTCAGTGCTTCTTCATTACATCAAAATCATTCATACTTAATTTCTTATAAAGAATAATTATAATATAGTTTTTAGTATATACTATTAGTGAAATGGTAAATAGATCATCTCTCATTTACTTTTATAATTTTATCTTAACAATCTTGATAACTATAAAAGACATGTTCAGTTGTTATTGTCGAAATTGGCAACATCAAAATCCATCTAATTAAACAATCAATAAGATAATATATAACTAGTTTTTATTTTAATATTAATCATAGAAGACAAAGAGACCCTAAGAAATATTAATTTTCATGAGTTTCTAGTTAAAAATACTTTAATTAAAATTTTAAGTGTGGCTTATATATATATATATATAT